GAGGGGGGCGGGGGTTGACGCCTGTCTATCCTGCGATCCGCCTACCCCCGCTGATGTCACCCGCCCTCGGACTTCTACCCTCGGCGCACAGCCTCCTGGTAAGAGCCTGCTGAAATTTTCAGATTGTCCAACAGCGATGATAACACCACTATGTATCTCGAACAATTGCTTCAAGTACTTGATCATTTTTCCTTTTATTTTTTCGTTGCTTGCTATTCTGTTGTCTGTCCGAGATGAGGCATCGAAGATTGTGCAAAGTGGTGCGATCGATGAAGTGATTGAACCCGGTGGACGTTTCATTCCCAGATATTTAATGAGATATTTTCCTGATCGCAGGGCAACATGAAGCAGCACATGCTGACACACAAGATCCGCGACATGCCACCCCACCTGTTCAGCGACTCGAAGCAACAGCATCAGCAGCAACCTCAAGAGCACGAGAGTTCGAGAAGTCCCATGTGCACGGACGATTCGAGTCTACCTCCACCTCCTCCACCTCCGCCACCACCTCCACCAATGCCTCCGACCTCCATGGAGCAAGCCATTTCGGTGAAAAGATCCCCATCCGAAGGGGACCTGCCAGCGCCAAAGAGACCAGCCAGTAAGTACCATTGGCGATCGAATAGAGGCCTGTCTGCTTCTTCATCGAGCATACTTCGAACCGTCCAAGGCTTGGCTTAGCAAAGTCTAACTCCCGCTAACGAATCGCATCCGGGCTTCTGTTTAGTTAGCGAGATTAGCGTTGGCCGGCTTCGCTTACTTGCACGCCTGTGCTTTCTCCGCACCGCTGTTCTGTTTACGGGAGTTCCTGGTGGCAGGTTTTGGTCCCTCTTTCACCCACTTCGTTTCCGTCTTCTCTGAAACGCAGACCAATGCTTCGATTAAAGACCCTCCGTCGGAAAGAAAGACAAGCTTGAGCCCCGTTAAACATACAAACGTCAGGGTCTGTTCAGCGAAACTGTGTGTGTATTTGCAGGCGTGCCGAGCAAGCACTTGTGCCAGATATGCAATAAGAATTTCTCCTCGTCTTCGGCGCTCCAGATCCATATGAGAACTCACACGGGCGACAAACCGTTCCGATGCACCGTCTGCCAGAAGGCCTTCACCACCAAGGGCAATCTCAAGGTATACACATCATATATCCCCGACTTCCTCCTTCTCTTCGTCTCTGTTCTTCTCTGTATATTTCTTTCTATCACCTCCCGTCCGCTCCCTCCACTCGTCACCCCGGTATCTTCAAGTTTACTCACTAACACCAGCTAGCTGCTACCGCTTGTACTAACGCTAACGCGTAACGTACATACAGAACCGCAAGCTCGATGAAAGATCAGCGCAACTAGTCCACCTTGAACAGACCACGTTTGACGTGACTCCTTTTCTGCTCGCAGGTGCACATGGGCACTCATATGTGGACCAACGGAGCCTCTCGTCGAGGTCGTCGAATGTCGTTGGACCTACCTCCCCTACCTATCACCCCCAAGGATTCGGAGTTCCTCCAACGACGGCCGGATCTCTTCTACCCTTATCTACCCGCACCGTTCCTTAACGGCGTTCAACAGAAAGTAAGTAGTCATCATAAACGATTACGCTTATGTAAGTTACTACTATTACAATTGAAAATCTCGGAAACCTCACGTTCGATTCTACTGAAATTTTGCAAATTGCTTCATTTTGTATAGAAGTAATGGTTAGGTTAGTAACTTGATTACTCTATTATTTAATAATGATATTTATCTGTCATTACCGACTTCACCTACATGATACTGAACAACGTTATTACTGTATTCCAAATATTTTTGTATTATTATAGAATTTGACCAGTATTGTCCATTTTTATTGTATGGGATGAATTCTGCTCTGTCATATTATAGTAGTGTGGTAAAAAAAACAGATTTGAGGTATGCGGATGGATTGAATACTTGAGGACAACGTAGATTTCCTTTTGATAAAGATACATGTGCAAACTTGACAAATTTTTATATATAAATAGCTCTAAGTCCTCAACTTCTAATTCTCGACATTTTTTAATTTTTAAATCTTCAAATTTTAAAGTACCTAAATTTCTCAATGCAAAAATTCTTATATCTCTGAGTTCTTACACCTCCACGTCCCTGTATCCACAAATTCCTAGATCACCAAATACCTAAGTTCCTACATTTCTAAATCCATAAATTGCAAAATTATCAAGTACCTAAATTCCGATACCTCTTAATTTATAAATTCTGAGGTCAAATACCTATATCCCCAAATTTCTCAACCCCTAAATGCTAAGCTTAATAAACTCCTATTGAAATTTATTTATTTGTATTCAAATTTCATGCTCCCTAAATTTTTAGACCGCCAAATCTCTAAATTCCTAAACATCAAAATCCCTAGATCCCCAAATTTATAAATCATCAAATTCTTAGATCCCCAAATCCCTATATTCCGAAATTTGAAGGTTTCGAAATACCCATTAAAACAGTACTTTCGAGTTAACAAAAATCCAGACACGAACATTGTTTTTATGCAAAATGAAGTTAGATTAAGCACGTCTGGAATCCCACCATGAAGTGTTCATGTGAGAACAGAAGAGTTTTAGTACTATACACAGATGGCGGGACAATGGACATCTTCTGTTGCCATTTACTGTTCGTCGGTAATACGTATTAGCTTCAAAAAAAAAAGTATAAAATCATACACAAAATTTCACGCTCGATTATTACAAATTTCGAAGCTATTTAATCTTGCCAAAAGCACTGCATTAAACAAAAGTACATTAAGCAAGCAAGTATTGTACGATCTAAGTATAGTATACCATTTGAGTATATTATTGACTGTCGGTAAAATAAGGACTATTTTTATCGATAATTTGTCAAACTTCCTGTCAATAGTTACTACATCTTATATTATTCTGTGTATCGTTTCGTAAAATTTGAAGGAATAAGTTTAATTGTGTATGCTTGCCATGAATACTTCATAAAAACCTAACTGACAATTTCAATGTCTTTACAACCTTTTTTTGGCACTATATGTAACGGTATTAGAGTTCACATTTCTGTAACTCTTTGAGTTTCCAATGCAATGACAATCAAATAAAATGTCTCCGTAACTCAAAGAGTTAGCTTACCACCGCCAAACAGCGTAAACATAAAGAACAAACGTCAACGTCCGACACGATTAACGATTATTCTCTTTCGTTTTTGTAGGTAATTGCCCACGAATAAACCTAACCAGTCGGCGTGCATTACTTACAGCTGAACGAGATCTCGGTGATACAAAGTAACAACGGATTACCTGGCCACTCGGTGGCCGCCGGAAAGTACGCAGGATTGTTCGGTTCGGTGTACGCAGCCGGTGCCGGCTTCCCGTTGGACAAACAGCCAATGGCGGGGACCAACAACGGGCCCCTGGTAGACGGGAAGTCCTCGATCCCGTCCGGGTCGATGCTGTTCCAAACGCCGTCACCGTCCCATTCTCCCGGCACACCATCGTCGAACGGCAGCAATCAAAACACCGGCGGCGTTCCTGCATGGACCGGTGATGCTCTCCAGCATCACTTCGACAGAGAGGCTCCTACGAGACCGGAGAGCAACTCCACACCACCCTCGGCTCGACTTCCGCCTCCGCCGGCGGCAAGGGGTGAAGGATTGGCCACGTGAAGCCCGACCGGTACATATCTTCCTTCTTCGAGGCTTCATGCTTTCGGGAACTGAACTCCGTCCTGGCTGCTACGTAAAGATAGACAGACAGACAGACGTTCACACAGGGCCGGGCAGTGTTTCAGTGCATTTTGAGACAAAATGGACCCGAACGTCCAACGACATATCCACCCGATCCCCGGAAGAGCCAGCAGACACCATGTTCCTATTGTTACACTAGTCTTAAACACGTTAAAGAGGACCGATGGGCCCGGCAGCTAAAGTCCCAACATTAAGTGGGTCTCACTTCCGGTCCATTGAACGCCCGCGACGTGATTTCGCACGAGGGTTAGACGGATGCGACGCCTAGACTGAGCCGTTTGGCCACAAGACACGTGGCGTCGCGACGTCCCGGCCCTTCATACTCTGACCGTCCATGCGCGACAGTGATGGTCACCTCACTTAGGGTTTATCGTATATTATAAATGTGCGTACAGGGTATCTCGTGTAATCGAATGACCCTTCAACATCCCCGTAACTGATGACGATACGAAGAAGACTTTATATGGACGCATTTAGAAATCCTGAAGGTTCGAATACATGTCGAGGTAGCAAATACAGCGTACCCTGATAAAAGACATGACAAATTTTTAAGTCCACAAGATACATCTTTGTGTAACCCTAATCTAGGTCCTTATCGCTCCCTGTATATTCTAATTTCGCGTATTTTTATGTTTGAGCGATTTTGCTACCTCTGAATGATCGACGCCTTTGTGGAATATTTATAAACACAGTTGGGACTGAAAGCGTGAAACATCCATATCAACGATAACAGGGATGTTCGAGGCGTTTACCTCACACGATATATCCTGTACAGGGAGATATAAATATATACATAAAAAAGAAGATGATATATATATTATAAATATATAAATATATAAATATAAAAATATTATATCGGTGCGAAGGGGTATGAGTGCGCGAGTTGTATACACGTGCGAGTGCATGCGTCGCTTTCTTTTTTCAAGAAGGTCGTTTCTAGGAATTAAAGAACAAAAAATGGCGGGCCCGGCAGCGCCCTCGCTGTGATATGAGAGGAGCAGCCTGCAATCATTTAAACCAATGTACTTATACTTTGTACCATAGTATTATTATTATTTACACTCGATGTACAGCACGCACCCGGAAAACCCGTGTCCCGATGTTCTTTTCTATGGAAAGACAGTTGACCTCGATTTGTGTTCCCCCGAACCCCATCGATTAAAACTTCTCTAATTAAATCAAAGTTTAATTCCTTTCAGATCGATCGTACATACGTATATATTTATATAAGATGACAAATTCCGACTAAGATTCGTTTCTTCGTGTCTGTCGATTTCGCAGTGGCTCGTATCAATTTTCGACGAACATCAAGCACGTGACCACCATTTTCACTCCCCCACCCCGTCACTCCGTCGATCACGTGATGTTCGGTATTTATTATATAATTTGACAATGTGATATTTCACTATATTGTTATGTTAGTGTAAAATAATTGCAAAATCGAAAACGTAGATGTAGCGAATAATAATAAACTCTCTGATTAATAGAAGTAAACGATTCTTTGCGTGAGTTTTACAATTTTAAGCTGTATAAACGTTCGACTATTTATTTCTTGTTAGCAATCATCGTTAACTTTTCGATAACGTGTAACGAAATATTTGATCGCAGGGTAAATATTTTTAGAGAAACAGTTTTAGTTTTCCAGATAATTGAACTAGTGGCATTTACGATATGTAGAATATTGTTTCGTTTATTTTGCGATCGGATCATCGAAAAGTTGCGATGCGTTTTTGTCTTCTGCACAGCGGTGACGCACATCACGTGATCATCAGACTTAACAGAAACAACGGGTTAACTGTATTCACTGTATCACATAATTCAACATTTCTTTTCAAAACTTAATTTCATGGTAGTCAACGTGTTAATCAGAGCCGTCCCTAGATAGACAAAATATTAATTTATAATTTTGTAGGAATATATTTTTGTTAAATCTAAAAATAAGGTTACACGTTTGAGTTTTGCCTCGGGTCCTACAGGGACGGTTTTGTCCATCATAATTCTTCATAGTCACAAACGAATCACATAAAATCGACTAATGTACAGTTCCGTCTGATTTCAAATTCCGTTTTCCAAAAGCAAAATATTTCAAAACCGAATTCGAACTCGATTAACGTGCATGCATTATGACCTATGCATTTGATCGCATACATTAAATACTCGTGTATAATGGCTTTCCTGTATGTTCTCACGTTTACTCATGAAACTGCAAGGGAAGACGAAATAGATGACGTGTAAAAAGAAGTATGTAAAAAGTAACGATAGCAGCGTACGCGTGTCGCAGTAGACACTTGCATAATTCATTTGACTTTTCGCTAGATTAGAATTAAAAGATGTTTCAAAAGCTCCGTCGATTCAAGAGCCTCCGAAATGGAGGGAGATGTCACGTGATCCTGGTCTCGACGGTGACTTTCTGCGAATCAAAAATTGTAGAGAACGATTGAAGACGACTGAACGCCGAATTTCGAAAAACACACACGAATTCACGTTTCTTCAGGGGTTAATTTTATAGATTTGATAAGTTTCTACGACAACGAAAACCTATTGTAACAGGTTAGAAAAGAATACTGGGAAGTTAACGAAAATGGCGTCTTCAATCATGAAAATACCGATTTTGTATATTGACATATTGAAATGAAATTCATGGCCGATTGTAACAGCGGCAGGGCAATATTTGGTTTTTTAAACAGTAACATATCGACGAAACATCCGTGGAACGATCCGATATTTATTTTGTAAAAATATTAAAAATGACTGCGCCAGTGAAAGTTATTTCGAAAGAATAACCTGATATACTTTTTGATTCTATCCAAACTTCGAGGTTAGGTCCCGTGAATAGTTAAAGAAAGACAAAAATTGGCGTAAATAGGAGTGGCTGGAGTGTGCTAGGGACCCTAAAATAACGATTATTGCCGATGATTTATAAATATGACTACATGGAGATATTTGGAGATTTATGACTTTAGAGTTTTAGGAATTTGGATATCTCGAATTTAGAGATTTTTGGAAATTTGCACAATGGGGATTTGTAAAAATTCAGGATTTGGTGACTTTGAAATTTGTATACGGATATTTGGAAATTCGAAAGTTTAGCAATTTGGGAATTTGTAAATTTCTGAATTAAAAAGAAGTGGAATTCGGAAATATAGTAAATAGGGATTTGCGAAGTAGAGATTCAAGAATTGGGGATTAGGAAACTAGAGATTTGAGTATTGGAAATTTGGAAGTGGAATTTTGAAAATTAGAAATCTACAAATTTAGGAATTTGTGAATTTTAGAATTTGGGAATTTGCAAAGAAAATTTCAGAATTTGAGGATGTAATGATTTAAAACTTTGAAAAATTGAGAACTTGGAAATTCAGGAATTCAGGAATTTGGAAATTCAAAAATTAAAAAATTTGCAAAATTTTATATAAAAATTCAGGAGTTTGGAAATTTGAAAATTTCGTTATTTGGACATTTGAGGATTTGGGAAAATGGGCAATCGAAAATTTTGGAACTAAGGAGTTTTGAATTATAGACTTGAAAACTTGGGAATTTGGAAGTTTGAAAAATAGAGAATTTGAAGATTTAAAAATCTGGAAATTTAAGATGTGCAGAATTTGGATATTTAGAAGTTCAAAGATTAGGAATTTAAAAATTTGAAAATCTGGAAATTTAAAAATTCGAAAATTCAAAAATTCGGAAATTTAGTAATTAATAAAATTTGGAAATTTGGAAATCTACAATTTAAAAATTAAAAATTAAAAATTGGAAATTCGGAAATTCCTAAGTTTCTAGTACGAGATATCCTACTTCCCCCCGATTGTAAGTGTCGATACTGAGGGTCTCCACCCTGCTCTCTGCCTAGTTACGTCAATAAAAATTACCAATGCTAGGGAGAAAAATCAAAAGTTCGTTTCCAATACAAACCTCACGGTTTGTCGTCGAACAACAACGGTCGTATACATATATACATAACACAATTGTAAATAAAGAACAGGTGATAAGTGTAGGACGAGTTCGGTTAGAAAAAAAGTCGATGTAAATCATTAGTGTGCTACTCAAAAAAAAATGTTTCTCGTAATGTTAAGTGGGACATTTACACGTTTCAAGTACACAGATGTCGTTTTTAAAAAGTGATGGGAAAACGGGGGGACGGAAAGCCCGGCAGCCTATTCCCTGATTGCAAGTCCTGTGAAATTGTCCAAAAAAAAAGAACAAAGTATTGCTTGTACGATCTTGTGTTTTCTTGTACATATTGTATAATCCATGTATAAACTCGACTCTGCTAGTTGCGAAACCTGTCATTGTAGTTAAATTACGTTACGGATCATTATATCTATATCACTTCAACAATAAACAATTATTATGAGGACCTGTGTTTCTTTATTCCATATCAATATTTAAATATTCGACGTACAAATATTTCATTCTAATTTTAGTAAGGTGAGGTGGGGAAAGATCGTAAACGCGGCAAGTGCGTATACAGGCTATTTTTATTACAATATGACCAAAATTTCTTCGTTTAGTATGTTTGTTTCCTTGTTTTGTTTCACTGCATCCCCTTTTATATTTCAGCTAAGAGTACTTGTTTGCAGTACAGAGTACTTGCAAAATACAGTAAAAAGCATTTTATAGCAGATTTGTTAATAATTCTGCTCTTGCCCCATTGCACATGAAATGAAGTTTCAAAGTATTTAACTTCAAGTTACGCTCTTACCCCATTTTCGGGGAAAGTGCAGAGTAGTTGACATTTTAAACAATTTCCTATCAAAATCAAAATGTACAAGGAAAATTAAGATCCTAGTTCATATTAATTAAATAGTAGTAATTGTGCAAAGCATTCGATATCGACAGCGTTAAGTATTTACATAGCAGACAGAAAATACTTACGTTTAAATACCAACATCATAAAAATCAGTCTGCACTTACCCCACTTCATCTTATAGTGAATATTTCTGTGGCGGTTTCACTCCCTCGCTCATCGCCAATAGACGGCGCATAAAATCGAGACCTAGACTTTCTCGCTAGTACTCCAAGAGCCTTCCTATTCATACAATATGTATAGTTCCTATCCATCCCTTCCTTACATCCCTGCGTCTAAGGCAAGGACCTGCTAGAACGCCTCACTGTGATGAGTCCAACTAGTAGCAGGCCCCGGACGAAACGTTTTTTCTCCCTCTCCTTTACTTTTCCTAGCTCCCTACCATAGCTAGCTGAACCGCCAAAATTTCGTTAACTGGAAATTAGTTTAAAAACATTTCTGTTGCTGAATTGTTGGGTTCAAGGAAATATTCACTTCCATTTTACTTAATTATTAGGAGTGCATTAATTTATGTAATAAGTCAATTTTGATTGTAGTTCTTATTATGCTTTACACTTTATACTACAACGCTGTTATTATTTAATAACACTTTGCCGTGGTAAGGTAATTTAATAAATTAAACACATTGTTTAATGTCCTAAACATTTCTACAATTTAAATTTTCGCGTGCATCGAGAGTGTACTGATATTCAATCTAACGAGAAACAAGAAAATTAACGAGACGTATTTTTTTTAAAGACTGTATACCTTTGAAAGCTTTATTATTTACATCACTTTTTGTAGAATCAATTACTTATAAAATCAATTTGCAATTAATTTTATGACTTCATACATCAATTATTTAACTGTTGAATATGATATACCTGTGTATGTACTCAGTTATTTACGGGTTATTACTGTGAAAGCATTTAAAATATTGATTATTATTTAATATTTTATTCTTTCTCGATTTTTCGAAAATGAAAAAATAGTGCGTTTTATGGACTGAAAAATTACCGTCCATTTAACGGTGAGAGATGGAAATTCAAAAATATAAAATTGAGATTTTTGAAAAAATGAGCAAATTTTAAGTATTTCTGAGGCTTGTACACTGTTATGTGATCAAATTAGAAGACAAATAGTATCCTAAAAAATTGTTAAAAGTTCTAGAAAAGGAAATAAAAAAAGTGTCATTATGTGAACAAGAAGGACAGCGACATTTATAGGTGAAGTAGGTAAACTAATTAAAGAAATACATGTCCAAATGCGCATATGAGGAAATCATAAAATGCCATATTCCGTAACTTTTACCACACATTATACTTCCTAAGACATTTCAAAGCAAATTTCTTATTAATATTTGATGCATACGAATTCCGATTCAGTCGAAAAAAATCGATACTTATCGAATTAGG